AGGGAAATCCACAGCATCCACACACACAGAGATGCCTTTGCCCTCCCTGGAGCAGGAACGAAAGGTTCCTGCTACAGCTTTACCTCCAAAAATATGGGAATTTTGCAAAATACTTGATGTTGCAAACATGAATGCAACAAAAAAAAGGTTGTAACTGTATCCAGATGCACTGTGGAAGGCCCTTCATACAAAGGGTGCTCTTGGCCAACACACGTGGCTACAGAAACCTCAGGGAACTCCTGAAGCTCCAGACAAGAAAAGTTCCCGGCAGTCACAGCATTGACCCGCGGAGGACTGGGCCTGCCCAAGGGGACAGCGGCCCCCAGCACCTCCCGACCCCCAGGCGGGGAACGAAGGCGCTGCCCCGCGGCGCCGCTCGCGCTGCTCCTGCCCGCTCAGCTCCATCCCCGCCGCTGCCAACGCGGCACCGCCGGCTCCTGCCCGAGGCTGCTCCCGCCTTGCGGAGCCCTGCGCTCTGCTGAGGGTGGTCGCAGCTGCCACCCGCCCCCCGGCCTTGCTGCCTGCGCTCACCAGCGCCCTCCTTCCTCCTCCTCCTCCTCAGGGCCAACCCCTCAGGGCTGCGGGAAGGGGCTGCTTTGGGCTCCGGCTGCCCTGTCGTGCACCAAGGAGGGAGCTGCCAAGTAAAACGGTGCCATTTCCACAGGAGCCACCCTCAGGACAAGGCTCGCCTATTACCCAGCGCTAATGATTGCAGCTATTACCCCAGCTGCTGACTTGCTGGTTCCTCCTCACAAGGCAGACTCCTCTGGGCAGCAGTAATTGCAGGCAAATCTGCTCATCCCCAAGGGCTGGACGCGGCTCCCCAGCATCGCCGGCAGCTCCTCCCTGCTGCTGGCAGGGAAGGGTTTCCAAAGGGCATCCTTACGAGCGCTAAGAGCAGAGCTTGCTGCAGAGCACGCGCGCAGCAAACGAGCTCGTTTTACACAGACGTGGCTTTCAAGCGACTGGACGGCACTAACAGTTTGGGGAGAGCATCCCTTGAGATCAGCCCTTTGCAGCACTCCTGTATGGCTCTAGGGGACGGAGGCTTTCCTGCATTTTGCAGTTCCAACCAGTTGTTACTCAAGTTCTTCAGGAAAAAAAAGACCCCTCTAGATATTAATACTCCCAGACAAAAGCAACCTTGATGCATGGCTGCAAGCACTTAGCGAGCCACGTGCTGTGTGCATGGCTGGAGGCAACACGTGAACGCTGACGTGGAGTTAATACGGAGTGAAGAGAACTAAGGCTGCGGCAGCGAGGGGCAAGGGCTGCTCTGACGGCCCTGCCCTCTCCCAGCCCAGATCCTGAGCTCCCTGCAGCAGCAACGGGCATTTGTCCCATCCCCGAGACCCGGCAGGTATCAC